GTGACGTTTACAATCCAAATGAATGCACAATGACAGGTTTTGAATGAAAGACTGGCTGCGTTACAAGTGTGACCAGTTTGAAGTTTTGTACTAACAGTTGTGAAAATGTATCACATACTTGTGAAAATAGTACCAAAGCAATTCAAATAAAAATAATAATCATATCCGACTGCATCCTAGTGTACAGTACACAATTGCTCACTACTTTGCGACACTCAACTACGTTAAACACATGCACATGGCCTTTTTTGTAGTGCTCACTACTTTGGCGACACTCAACTACGTTAAACACATGCACATGGGCCTTTTTTGTAGTGGTCATGGTAATAAAATACAATGCAATACCTAAGGTATTAGCTCTCCTTGGTTGGAGAAAGCAAAACATGATCTAAACCAGGGATGGGCAACATGGGGGTCCGCAGTGGCTTACGGGTCTGTGTACCTACACATGCAGTCAGAGCCAGCCCTAGCCTTTTGGGGGCCCTAAGCAAAATTCGACGGTTCAGAGAACATTTATTGTAATTGTACCCATTTTGCCATGGGGCATAGAGTAAAATGTGCAGTTTTAAAGCAAGTTTGCTGCAAATCTGAAAAGCTGTTTTAGCAATTGTATAAAAAAATATATGCAATTCTAATCATTTTGCCATGGGACGGAGAGAAAATGTAGCAGTTTTACAGCTGTTGCCGTAGGGTGGAGAGAAATGTTTGCAGTTTTTAATGTGATATGACAGTGACTAACAAAATCAATGGGGGGCCCCCGGTCGGTAATTCGACCATGATTACAAGTTTAGATAGCTGGCTGCATTGGACCTGTAAAGCAAGTTTTCTGCAATTCTACTCATGTTGCCATGGGGTGGAGAGACATTTTTGCAGTTTTAAAGCTAATTTCCTGCAATTCTACACATTTAGCTGACATGGCTAATTGAGTGACTATCAGTGACAGACATCACAAGAGAAAAACTGATGATGCACAACCACATTTCGAAATTGCACCTTGTGTATTCTTCTATTCTGCCTCTCAACAAACCTTAAGTCCATTTTTCTTTTTTTGTCTTTGGAAATTGATCCGCTGGTCTACGAAAGGGTGGCCGCCAGTTGTCCATCCCTGATCTAAACCCACAGGATCAGAAATGTAAATATTAAGGCAGTGGGGTTGAACTCTTCAATTTGCAATGGACCAGAAACCAGCCATGCCCTTATCCTGCAATAAAACTTTGATTGAAAAGCTGAGCTTCTCTCTCATGGCTGAGCTTCTTTCTCATGTTTGAGCCTCTCTCTCATGGCTGAGCTTCTCTTTCATGGCTGAGCTTCTCTCTCATGGCTGAACTTCTCTCTCATGGCTGAGCTTTTCTTTCATGGCTGAGCTTATCTCTCATGGAGGGAGATAGTATATGTGTGAGAGAGAGATAGAGGCAGAGAGAAAGAGGGAGGGAGAGAGAGGCAGAGAGAGAGTGAAGAGAGGGAGAGAGAAACAGAAGCCGAGAGGGAAGAAGAGAGGGAGAGAGAGAGGGAGAGAGAAACTGAAACTGAGAGGGAAAGAGAGAGAGAGAGAGAGAGAGAGAGAGAGAGAGAGAGAGAGAGAGAGAGAGAGAGAGGAAAAAGAGGCAGAGAGAATGAGGAAGAGAGATGTGGCGTGGGTGGCAAACACCAGGGTCTTGGGGGAGATGTCAGCTCTCATCAGATGAGCTAGGAGAAGTGCTAAGGGGTGTGTGTGTGTATGCTTTCATGTGTGGGTGTGTATGTGAATGTTTACGTCCATGCATTTGTGCATGTGTGTATGTGAGTGCTTATATGTGCGTGGCTCTGTGAATGTATGTGTGAGTGTGTGTGTGTGAGTGTCAATGTGTATGTGTGTGAGTAGAGCCCATGACCATGCCATATGTGTGAGAGCAGACATCACCTGAGGCTCCAGAGTGCAGGGTCAGCCTCCGCCTGTAGGTTGCTCAATGCTGCCCACACAGAACAGGAAGTGGCCCTGAGGCAGCAGGAAGCCTGCATAGTACACAACACCTGGGTAGCATGAGTTCCTGAACTATAGGCAATACAAGCATAAACACACCTGATTCAACTAATCAGACAGGGCTGATCCTAGATCTGTGGCTACAGGCTACTTCTACCTGCAGCTGTGTTCCACTTCCAATAGACCAACATGCAAGGCAAGAGAAAAGTCACGTTAGCATGGTTGGTTCCATTAGTTCACTTTTGCATTAAACAGAACACCGTTTTGTCTCCCTCTGTGGAGTTCAGAACTGAGCTTGGGTGGGGAGAGTGGGGTCCTGAGGGCCAGGTAGCTTGCTAGGAATCAGTCCACTGAGATTACTCTGACTCTGTCCATCACACTCCAACACAGCCTCTCTCTCCTCAGGCATCTATCACTACAGGCCTGCATGTACTGTACAATATGAACAATATGTTTTTCCCTTTTCCTTTCCATTTGTAAAATGTGTGGAGATCCTTTCAATACTCTTTGAATAAGGTAGGATTTGATTTCAAATGCCATTGATGATTGGAATGCCCTGTTTTCACAAGCCATCCAGCCAACATCCGAGTCCAAGTCTGTCAGTTTTATTTCATATTATCTCTGCCCTTGGTTTGTTAAGTGTAGCAGCTGCAGTCGAAGACCATCACCTGTCTGTCCTGCACCGGAGAGCACATCATCAGCTCCAGGAACAATCCCAGGCAGCACATTTATTAGAGAGTGATTAATGCAGTAATTAGATGGTTAGGACGTGTGTGACTGTAGCTCGAGGCGGGAGAGACTTTTAGCTTGACGAGATACAGTACCTTTCTTGCATAAAGTAATCAAAGGGATTTCTGAGCAAAACTGCTTGAATTTAAGAGATACAGACTGGAGTCATACAAGGTATTTGGCATGGACTTATTGTAACATGCTGGAGTTATCATGCATGTATACTGCTCTGAATAAAATTAATAGAATGATATTCAGATTTCCTATTTCACAAAAAAAAGGCAATCATACAGGCAGCCGTTTGCATTTACACAACTAGCTACAAACACACACAAAATGAGAGGTATAAACTACACATACGATGTGCAAAAAGTTGCAAGAAAATCAACAGCAGCCGCAGATCACATCAAAAAGGAAAAAAACAACAACAGCAACAACAAAACCTCCCACTTTTGGCTGAAAATCATTCTGGCGTTGCCATGGTGAGGGGGTTCTGTGCTTGAAGCCTTCCATTACTGCGACAGTGACATCATCCGTCCAAATATAGCCTAACATTTAGGATGTGTGTCATGGGCGGAATAATACCCTCAGGAAACATCATGGGCTTCTGCTTAAACACTAACTGATGATCCCTTCTAGATGGACCATAGAGAGTGGCTGGAGTCTAGCCAGGTCAGGGGGGTACTCTGTTACGGTATCTATGGTCATTGTCTTGTCGAGACAGGCAACAACATCAGAGGTGTCATAACCATTGAAACTGAGCAACCAATTACCCCCCTCACTTTCATTCAACAGTTTTAAGACATATGATGATGACATGGTTTTAACACGAACACACACACAACCTCAGGAGCTGCTGTGTGCTTTGCTGTATGAGGATAAATGCTAAAGTTCATTTGCAATTCAGACAAGCAGGTCAAGCACGTGGTTGTGTCATTTAAGCAACAGGCAGTCGGCCGCATGAGAAAATGAATCTCAGTGGCTCTGGAGAACTAGATATGGATCTTATTCCCCCCACCAAAAAAATTCTCAACAGAACACCATGATACTAATAGCCAGGTCAAAAGGCCTAGGAGGACCAAGAGCAAACCAGATGGCTATAAACAGAAAGTGTTTGATCTGAGGCCTACTGCTGCTGTTGAGAATGGATTTCTTATATAGCCAACATGATTACATTGTGATGTGTTAACTAAAAGATGAGCAAATAAGATGAGCCATTTTTTTAAGACTAACTACTCTCTACGGTCTACGCTGACTGCAGTACACTGATGAACAGAGAGGCAAAACTGCACAATTCTATTTTAATTTCTAACCACCAGATGTCACTGTAGTAGCGCCAGCAGAAAGAAACCACAACGCCACACACTTGAACGCTCTTTGTCCCTCGCTGTTTGTCCCTCGCAGCCGAGAAAGTTTCGGCTGCCTACACTTTTATTTTCACCACATAACATTGTATTGGCACTGATTAAATTAAATATGTTAAGTGTTTAATACCTGGATGCATACTTGGGATTAATGTTTTTGTCAATAATAGTGTGTTCATTTCACATGGATGAAGAGGATCGAAGAACTTCTCTCGCAGATTTTCTTCCGGTTGTAGCGTATATACTGTGTCTGAAAAGTTTAAACAATCATTATTTTTCCATCAAACCTGTTAGAGTGTGTCAATGGTTGTTAAAGACGGTATTTAATGTAGTGGAAAAACCATAGACGAGAAAAACATAAATGTTCTCGTTTGAAACTTACGGTAAGAGGTGTTTTTTTTTATTATTGAACTGTCGTCACAAATACTTTTAGAGCAGGGTTTGACGTCAGTTTCTGTATTTGGTGTTGGCCGGAACGCTATTTGTATGTTACATCCCACCACGCTCTTGGATTGTTTTCCACGATGTGAACCAATCACATCGCGCGGTGTGTGCGCTTTCTCTGTGAATTTCATTGGTTAAAATGCCAATCACTCAAAAAGGGCAATTAAGTGACATCACCCTTGATAAAAAGAGGCCACAAGCTGTAATGTAAGCACAAAGAGAACTTGGAAGTGGGATTCGAGAGGCCACATCATCAAACGTCGACTTCCAATCGAACCATTATTGTGGATAAAGAATGCTGATTGTTACGTTGATATTACTGCTTCTGACTTGAAGATTTCATTTACTGAAGGATTCGCCCAGGACTGGAGTGAGGGCCGCACAGCTATTTTAGCTAGCTAGCTAACAACGTTAGTTTACGTTACCTCGGTTTCACACTGCATTCCTGTCGAAAGAAACGTATTTTATTTTCTACGAGCTGAAATAACTATTTTGCGAGCAAAATGAACCAAGTATACTCATCTAGAGGTGAAATAGGCCCCGAAGTAACGGCCGCAGCGACTTTTGTTTCCAGGCTATTGAGAACAAGAGGCTTCCTGAGCGAACACCAACTCCATGATTTCAGAGATTGTCTCCAACAGTCATTATCAGGTAATTTGGTTAGACATTTCCTATCAAAATAAAATAAAAATAGCTTTGCGAGGTACTAAAGTTCATGTCGAAATGGATGCCTATACAAACTGTTTGCTAGTTGACTAACGGTAACCTAGCTAACATTAGCTAGCCTTTGTCTATTCAACTGAACATTGTTCGCTTTCTAGCTTATTTTTATCGACGTTTGATTTGATACTTTATTTCAGCCAAATTATCTACCTATTTTGGTGAAGTACAACGCGAACGTGTTGCTTAAATGTAGTTTTTTTGATACTGTTTTGTCGAATGGCTTCACTGTCTTTGCAAGGCAGCAAATTCTCGTTAGCCTAGGTAAGCTTGTCTCGAGACGAAACCAGTAACGTTAGTAACTAGGCCCAATGAATGGATCGACCAACTGTCTATTCTCGAGCATAACTATTTGGGTATGCAAGCGTTGACGGCAAAAGTTGGTAGGTAGTAATATCCCATATCAGTAATTCACGCTCATTCAAAAAAGCTTGACTTGTCTATTGCTGGAATCAGCTGTTAAGTTTTATTCTGTCTGGGGCTTTGTTTTCAAAGCAATACGTTGACTGTTCTAATTTCGTGCACCTGTCTGATGAACATGTGTTCTCTTCACAGAACACTACCAGAACCACTGGTTCCCCGACAGACCACAGAAGGGCTCCGGCTACCGCTGCATCAGAATGAATCATGAAATGGACCCAATCATTGGCAGGGCCGCTGGTCGGATTGGACTTACTAGTGATCAGCTCTTTGCCCTCCTTCCCCGGGAGCTGACACTCTGGGTGGACCCTTATGAGGTCTCTTACCGCATCGGGGAGGATGGCTCCATCTGTGTCCTTTATGAGGCAGAGTCCCTAGCGCCCGCAGCAGCTCCTAGCCCTGACCCCACACACAACTGCAAGAATCAATTTCTGATTGGTGGCCGCACTAGCCCACCGACTAACTACCTGATGACTGTCTCGAGCTAGTGTGGGACCAGGCACTACCGCGACTGGCGACGCCAAACAGCGTCGACGTGAAGGCCATCAACCACCCACAGTGATCCTTTTTGTATTTTCATTTCATAGCATTTTCCCCCTTATTAAATTAACTTCACATGACTTATTTAATTACATTTGAGTATTCTAAAAGCACCTGGTATTTGTTAGAACATTGGGTAGCACTTTTGAGTATTGTTTGACTACCAGCCCATAGGCTCTTTGCACTGCTGGGACTCTCAGTATGTAGTGTGCTTCTGTCCTGTGGTATTAGCACACTACACTCAAGCCTGGGCTTTAAGTGTAAAAAAACTACTCTGGGATTCTGATTCTAGTATCTCATGGTGTAATAATACTTCACGCCACTTCTCACAACTGTAAACTAAAGCAATCGTATAACTGGAGAGTCAAGTATTTGTTCAGTTACCTATACATCTCCAATAACTTTTTATATTTCTGTATAATGCAGTTCACTGCTGGTTTGTAATCTTACGGGACCACTTCACCTACCTGTGCCCTGAAATCAGACTCAAGACAAAATGTCTGACTTTCCTGTTGAAGAGCTGCCAAACTTTCTTGATCCTTTTGTGCAATAGTCAGTGTTCAGAGAAACTGGAGTTCGTCAATCTCTCAACAAATAGCAAAAACTAATTTCACACCTCTTGGCTCCCAGTAGCCTTAAGTAAAATAAAAAATCTAAAATGGCTTATACTATTAACATGATCAAAAAGGGGTTAAGATTTTAATATTGATCACTATTGTGATTTTTTTATTTTTTAAGTGTTCTGTTATTCCCCCCCCCCCCCCCCCGTAGTTTGCCTTTGTGAATAAGTTGTGAGGTGGTTGGTTGGCGTCATGTTAACGTCTATCACTGCCAGGTAGCGTTATGCTCTCAGCCCTCTGTAGCATCCTCTCTTCCTACCGAGCTGTTGAGCAGCTCACCAGTGCTTACTGTTCTAGACAGAGGAAGGATTTAGTTTGTAAGCTATTTGAAGCATAGTAAGCATTTAAAAGTAACTTTTTAAATGAATGTTGTGCATATATAGATACTTGTACAGTTTGTCACTTTTACAATAAACCTTTATGAATTTAGATCGTCTCTTGCTGTGGTCGGTTCAATTTACATTTCAGTTCCTAATCAACACTCCACTTTGCACCTGTAGCACATTGTAAATGATCTATTCCTTTTGTCAGCCAAGGGAACCTGTCAACTACACTGCCCCCCCCCTCCTAACCATAGGGCAGGGCAGGACAATTACACCATCTGATCCTTTCAGGTCTAGTTGGCATGAACGGCCTAGAGGTTTATATGAATGGAGCGTTATCACTTTGTTACTCATTCATGCGTTCACACTCAGGACCAGGCTTGTCTGTGCCTCCAGCACTGGCTTGGTTTATCATTAAGGGGACACCTGTGTCTGGACATGCTCTACACCAGCCACAGATGGAACTATTGACAGTTTCCTGGGATGTAATCATTAGGCGGAATGTCTTTTAATACGCATTGCTATTGGAGAAATTCCGGTACAGTGAGGGGGAAAAAGTATTTGATCCCCTGCTGATTTTGTACGTTTGCCCACTGACAAAGAAATGATCAGTCTATAATTTTAATGGTAGGTTTATTTGAACAGTGAGAGACAATAACAACAAAAAAATCCAGAAAAACGCATGTCAAAAATGTTATAAATTGATTTGCATTTTAATGAGGGAAATAAGTATTTGACCCCCTCTCAATCAGAAAGATTTCTGGCTCCCAGGTGTCTTATAGAGGTAACGAGCTGAGATTAGGAGCACACTCTTAAAGGGAGTGCTCCTAATCTCAGTTTGTTACCTGTATAAAAGACACCTGTCCACAGAAGCAATCAATCAATCAGATTCCAAACTCTCCACTATGGCCAAGACCAAAGAGCTCTTCAAGGATGTCAGGGTCAAGATTGTAGACCTACACAAGGCTGGAATGGGCTACAAAACCATCGCCAAGCAGCTTGGTGAGAAGGTGACAACAGTTGGTGCGATTATTCGCAATAACAGTCAATCTCCCTCGGCCTGGGGCTCCATGCAAGATCTCACCTCGTGGAGTTGCAATGATCATGAGAACGGTGAGGAATCAGCCCAGAACTACACGGGAGGATCTTGTCAATGATCTCAAGGCAGCTGGGACCATAGTCACCAAGAAAACAATTGGTAACACACTATGCTGTGAAGGACTGAAATCCTGCAGCGCCCGCAAGGTTCCCCTGCTCAAGAAAGCACATATACAGGCCCGTCTGAAGTTTGCCAATGAACATCTGAATGATTCAGAGGAGAACTGGGTGAGTGTTGTGGTCAGATGAGACCAAAATCGAGTTCTTTAGCTTCAACTCAACTCGCCGTGTTTGAAGGAGGAGGAATGCTGCCTATGACCCCAAGAACACCATCCCCACTGTCAAACATGGAGGTGGAAACATTATGCTTTGGGGGTGTTTTTCTGCTAAGGGGACAGGACAACTTCACCGCATCAAAGGGACGATGGACGGCGCCATTTACTGTCAAATCTTGGGTGAGAACCTCCTTCCCTCAGCCAGGACATTGAAAATGGGTCGTGGATGGGTATTCCAGCATGACAATGGCCCAAAACACACGGCCAAGGCAACAAAGGAGTGGCTCAAGAAGAAGCACATTAAGGTCCTGGAGTGGCCTAGCCAGTCTGCAGACCTTAATCCCATAGAAAATCTGTGGAGGGAGCTGAAGGTTCGAGTTGCCAAACGTCAGCCTCGAAACCTTAATGACTTGGAGAAGATCTGCAAAGAGGAGTGGGACAAAATCCTTCCTGAGATGTGTGCAAACCTGGTGGCCAACTACAAGAAACATCTGACCTCTGTGATTGCCAACAAGGGTTTTGCCACCAAGTACTAAGTCATGTTTTGCAGAGGGGTCAAATACTTATTTCCCTCATTAAAATGCAAATCAATTTATAACATTTTTGACATGCGTTTTTCTGGATTTTTTTGTTGTTATTCTGTCTCTCACTGTTCAAATAAACCTACCATTAAAATTATAGACTGATCATGTCTTTGTCAGTGGGCAAACGTACAAAATCAGCAGGGGATCAAATACTTTTTTCCCTCCCTGTTTCGTTTGCTTCCGTTTTAAGAAACGTTCCGCAACCGACTGCTTAATGACTACGCCTCTGTTGTGTCCTGGGAGAATGTGTCTGAAGTTACATTATGAACCCAGCCTTCCTGCATGTGTTTGTGCAGCCTTATTTTCTGTCAGTAAACCCTTCAAAGAGGGTGTTTGTGTGAACTTAGACATTTGTTAGGGGTAAGTGGCTGTGTTGAATCATCAATCCTACCTTCTAGGAATGGAGAGACCTATTGTTTGAGCCTAAACAGCATGCCAAACAGTGTTGGAAATCACAACACAGCCAATAGACCTACAGACCGTGAAGTAATGTTTTCTAAACCTGTATTAGCCTAGGTGCCCTGAGGTTGGTTGTGTGGGGGTAAATACTATAATATAAACCAAAAGTACTGACGGTGTGTGTGTCTGGTTCCCTTTGGCCACGCTGGCACTCCCATGTCTGAAATGCTTTTACCTTTTGATTTCAACCTTTTAGCAAAATCGATTTAGAGTCAAGCTGACCTGCCCAGACAATTAAAAACTTAAGTTATGTATTTTGCAGCGTGTTTATGTAACAATGTGAGTCATACAACACAATGAATGCCAACAATTAGGGAGTACACTCAGGGACGTTTTATTGTAAGTAATTACGAACACAATACACACACAGATGGCACAGGAAGGGGCTGGTATCAGAGAAGCAGGGCTCTATTGTTTTTGTGACCTCCAGTACCACGTCTAACACACACACAGAGAAAGAAGCCCTGCAGTGGTTCCATTTCCATAAGAAATAAGAAACTCCTGAACCTCTCTCTCTGAGGGGCACTCAGTGTCGCCTGGCCCTCCTCACTCTCCTCCTCTGCCCCTAAAACCCAGCAGCAGAGAGGGGGAGAAAATACATGGCTTGAAATATCCTATTCCATGTGCTTTTTGGCTGTTCAGACTACAAGAAAAATAACAGATTCGAATCGGATATGCAAAAAAAATGGATTTGAGTCACTTCAAACTGCCAATGTGAACAAGGCTTAAGAGAGCTCTTAGGTGATTTGAAGTCAGATACAAATCTGATTCCTGGCCATGTGACTTGTGTCTGAACGGTCAAATCTGATTTATTTGTCCTCAAGTGGTTTTTAGACGGTTATTTGGCATATCTTGTTGCTTGCTAGCTACTCTGTTGACAGTTTGACAAGAACATGTGGTAGATAACTAGCTTGTTAATTGTTTTCAAACCAATTATTGAATGCGCTAGAAAGCTAAACAGCTAGCTAGTTGACTGCTGTGGCTAGCTAAAAAAGACTCATTTTGAAAGTTGGATTATCTTATCCTTTGAGGCTTTAAACGTGTTCTTACACTATGATTTTGAACATTTAAAGTAACTGGGAAACGTCCATTGCAGGCATTGTTGTCACATTAGCTTGCTAAACTTCTGAGTGATATAAGGTGATATCTGTAAAATGTGTAGTTTTGAGATAATTAGTATTTTTCAATTCCCAGATCTCAGAATATTTTGTGATGTCTTCCTCTTCAGGACTCACTAAGTATATCACCTTACACACAATTATTATTGATCGACAACCCAGCATTGTGTGATTGGATTGCAGATAGAACCTTATGTCTCCTGTCCCTCTCTCTCTCTCTCTCTCTCTATCCCTGGCTCCCCTCTCACAGTAGCCATAGCACCATCTGTCCCATCCCCACCTCGATCCTGCCCCCTGCCCTCCTCACCCCTCCAGCACTAAACAGACAGCAAAAGGCCTCTTTCAGCTCAGCGAACCCCCTCAGCCCTCCTATCATCCTCTCACTGTTAGAGGCTTATGAGGCCAACATAACTTTTCATGCAGCAACATGCACCTGTGGTGGATTACGCTGCTTTGACCGAGGAGGGGGGA